TTTGCTGAATAAAAGCATTTCTTTCAAAAAAAAAAAAGCAAGAAAGAAAAAAAATACTGACCTCAAACTTTTGAACGGTCGTGTATATTGTTACAAAATATTTCTATTTTGAATAAATCCTGTTCTTTTAAACTTTTTATTCATTAAATAATCCTGAAAAAGTATCACAGGTTCCAAAAAAAATATTAAGCAGCATAACTGTTTTCAACACTGATAATAAATCAGCATATTAGAATGATTTCTGAAGATCATGCGACACTGAAGACTGGAGAAATGATGCTGAAAATACAGCTTTGATCACAGAAATAAATTACATTTTAAAGTATATTAAAATAGAAAACCCTTATTTTAATTTGCAATAATATTTCACAATATTACTGCTTTTTCTGTATTTCTGATCTAATAAATGCAGCCTTGATGAGCAGAAGAGACTTCTTTAAAACACATTAAAAAATCCCAAACGTTTGAACAGCAGTGTATATTTGTAAAAAAAAATTTTTACTTTTTATTTAGGCATGGTTTTCTACATATAACTATTACTATATACAAGGCCATAAGGTATGTGCCTATCCAGAAATAGACTTCAAAAATAACTCCATCCTGAAAAACTTCAACACTGGTGTTCAACCAATGAAAGCCATTATACAGTGCTTCCATACGTTTAAGATGAAAATATCTTGACGTTTTATTAGGTCTATTGAAGCGGAGCAGTAGGTTATCATCATGGGTCTGTTGTCTGACCCGAATCGCAGGAAAGCCCTGACCAACCTCTTGACCCGCCTCAACGCACCCATATGGTAGGTGCTTCACCTTTGAAATCACAGCATGCTACACTTGTGTGAACCTGACGATCTCTGCCATCACTTCCTGTTCCTTATTTGTTTCTCTGCTTGTTCAGTATGGTGTGCTACCTGGCGGCCATCGTGTGGTTCATGGGTCTGGCGTTTGAGCCCTTCACACTGCGCACGTACATGTCCGAGAACGCCATGGGCTCCACTATGGTGGAGGAGCGCTTCTCCTCCGGGGAACGAGCGCTGTCTCTCGCCAAGGAGTTCGATGCTCACAAAAGAAAGGCGGGGTGAGCAGAACATGGAAGTGATGCTGTATAATTAAAGCAGGTTTAGTCAGAAATGATCCTGATTTGTCTCTGCAGTGGGATGCCGGTGGAGTGGTTAGTTAAAGCGATGCAAGCCAGAGGACTGGAGGTGTTCACTCAGAGCTTCTCCCGTAAGCTGCCCTTCCCTGACGAGAACAAAGAAAGATATGTGAGTGTCTGAGTCTGTGTTATTACCATCACAGCTCTTGTGGCTGTGAGCTGTTTTTTGGAATACTATACAGTACTGTAAAGAAATTGATATGTAGGTGTTTAGTAAAATTCAAGGCTGAAGTCATTTGCATGCTTTAACGTCTCAAGAATGAAGTAAGACTGAAGAGAGGATGACGTACAGTTAAATATAAACATGTTTCGCTCTGTTTTGTGCAGATGGTTCGAGGCACGAATGTGTATGGGATCTTGCGAGCTCCTCGCGCTCCTCGGACAGAGGCTCTGGTCATCACAGCTCCCTGCAGTCCTGGAAACAGCGACAACCAGGCGGTCGGTCTTCTGCTGGCGCTCGCGCAGTATTTCAGGAGTAAGACACTTTATAAGCACATCCTGTCGACGTTTATTTCAATCGGTGTTGCATTTAAAGTTCTGATTTGGCAAATTCAGCCGTTTTTCCTTTCTCATCTTTTGAAATTCCTTGTGTTTTTCCAAATTCCCAATCCTTGTGTTAGTATTTATTTTGTGAGAATGACTGGCTGACTGTAGGGTTGTGACGGTGAGGAAATTTTCCCACCGGTTAATCGACGTGTGACAACACCGATAATACCGGTATCACCGCGGGGGCATTCCCTCTTTTCCTCGCTTTCCTTTGCTTTTAAATTGCTTAAAAGCGGCGTGCGCATTTTACTTTCACTTTCGAATTAGTGGCAGCTCGGCATCAATTGCTTGAATGCAACAACAAAATACAACGTCAAACTCACTTTAGCTTATATATAAAACAGAACTTTTATTAACAAAACAAATAAAAAAATACACCATGCTATAGAGCAGGCTATGCCTAATATAAAATAACAAATAACTT